GAGGGAGGCCACAGACAGCGCGGCTCGTCAAACGTGTAGGCGCCCAAGCTGAGGCCACAGACAGCGCGGCTCGTCAAACGTTTATGCGCCCAAGCTGAAAGATGATCGAAGGCGAGACGAGGCGAGTTGGTGAATAACAGTTGCGCAACAGAAAGAGGATTCAGATGAGGAATCAAAGAGTAGAGTCAAACAGAGAGGAATATACACTTGGATGACCACAACCAAGAGCAGAGGTGAACGGAAGTGACAAATTGACAAACCAAACGAGAGCATGCAAGAACACTCGGCGGCTGGACTTGAGAGAAGAGCCACAAGTTCAGCAAACTCGCTCGGGGCAGGATACGCGAAGTAGCGGACGAGATGGCGGGTACCGAGAGGATTCGCCTCCCGCGCCGTTGATTCTAGCGTACTGGGCCCTGGTCGACGGGAGACAGGGATAGGGCTGGAGAGGCCGAGCAGCTGGGGGCCGGTTAGAGAGAACACACAGCCTTGCCAGGTGCAAGAGAAAAGAGCAAGAAACAGTGTATGTGAGGGACAACGAGGCGATGAGGTTGATGGGGTTGACAGGGTGCCGTGGAGCGAGTGGCCAAAACCCAAGCACACCCAGCGGCTGTAGGGCTTGGTGGGCTTGCCGTTGTCGAGGACAGGGAAGGAACCCCCTCCCCCCGTCTCGCCTGTCCCCGGTGTCTGTGTCCAGGTCGCTGCTCGGGTCTGCATCTAGGTCTGCGCGTGTGTCTGGGTCCGGAGCCCAGGACCGGGACTTTCTCAACCTACTGATTGATGAGTGAGAGAGGGCAAGGGGTCCAATGGTTAAAACTTGGGGCCAGCCATCGATCCCGGCCATCGCCAAGAGGGGGCAGGGAGCTAGCCTGCTAGCCCGATAGACCACATGTCCCAAAGATGTGCATGCCCCATGTCGTACAATAGGATTCGAGCTGCCACTGGAGCTGTTGCTCAGAACGGGGTCATGGTGCTGATCCCGGCAGCCTCAAGTCGACTGTCAACTTGTCAGCCTGGCCTGAGCGCGGTGCGTGGACCAGGGGTGGGCGAGAGGACAGGAGGCGCAACGACAGGATCAAGAGGATGTACGTAGAGAGACTCTGTCGATCAGGTCCGAACATAGCCCCGCGTGAGTTGCTGCCACGGACAATACCGTCTTCGCAGGTGGCCGATCCGTGGTGCTGTCTGGAGATCCATTTAGAGAGACTAGTCGACCTTGAATGGAGCAAGAGAAAGTTGGAGACCATTTGGAGACATTGGAGGCCAAAGTGGATTCAGCAATGGCGTCTAAATCAGAGTCTGGAGACGGCACACGAGAAAGCAGGGGTCGTTCGTGTACACGGTGGTAATGAATGAAGGTGGGTGTACTTCAAGATGCGGGAAGCCGAAGGGGAGAGGGGCGTGCAAGGGGTACAAGGGCGGGGATGGGATGGGATGGGATGGGAGGAGAGCGGAATAGGGGGCGTGACCGCATCACATGTGCCCATTGATACAGGGGGTGGATATAGGGCGAACCGGGGGCCAGGAGCACTAGCTCCTGCTTCAATGGGCCTCAGGTGGCGGCGACGTGGCTGAGGTCCTCGAGTGAAGTTCCTGAGCCCTTGCCAAGTGCCCCGTTCGGGTCACTTTCCGTTTCCTCTTTGCTCTTCCTGCCTTGGCCCTCCTTTTCTCCACCAGCGCTGCCCGGGTACAACACCAACCTGGACGAGAGAACAGCTCAACCCAGCATGATCGCCCAACCCGACGCATACTTTCATCATCGGAAATGTCCCCCGGAGCACCACGTCAACGGTCGGTCATCCAACAGGAACCGACTTGATCTGCAGTCCATCCGCTCCTGACTATCTGTCAAAGGTCTATGGCTACACCGGATGGTTTGCCCGGCGTATGCCATCATCCCGCAATCGCCACGCCTGTCATCAAGGGTCTTTCTCTCTCGAGCTTGTTAGTGTATGACGGGGTTGCGAAGAGCGCAACCAGATTGGATACAATCGTAACAGCCTTTGGCAAGGACAAAGCGTCCGCGTGCCTGGCCGAAGCCAATCCGGCGCCTTGGGATCTTATTGAGCTTTGGGATAATTTCTGCTTCAGACTACCTACCTAGCTAGGTGTTTTCCAGGCCCATCTCCGTCGTTCGATCGATGGCGAATGCAACAAACAACCATCAAAGCACTCCCGGAAACCCTTGGCATTTCAAAGAGGAGTTCAGAGTTCACCCGCGCCGTTCCAAGCCTGTGACCCCTCTTGGGCCCTTTTGGCCCTCCTTCCACTCTCTCAGAGAAAAACGGCCATCGTGGCCGGAGCCAGGATTGATGCCGCGATCTCCGGATAAGAGTCGGCGGCGATGCTCATCGGTCAGGAGCTTGCACATGCAATGGATGTAGTCCGATAATTGTCGCTCGATCCCCAGGGACACGTCTCGCTGGGCGGAGGGAACCATGCGAGCAAGGCCGCTCGTGGTCCAGACCGCTGACCGCCCGAGCGCTTCCCTTACCCATTGCACTGCTCGAACCCCCATGCTGAAAGACCGCGACCTAGACTCAGGCTGTACCTGTTGGGCGATCACGATGCGCCTTCCCGTCGCTGCGCGGATGCATCGAACCGACTCGAAGAAGAAACCATCTCATCAAAAGGTGGCCCTCCGCTCCAGCTGCAGTCAGTTGCTGCTTATCGGCCCCAGTGGCTAGCTAGATCAATGTGACTTCGATGAAAGGGCTTCCCGTACGAGACCAAATCGGTGGATTTGAATGGGAAACATTCGACAGGGATGAGCACTCGAACGGTCTTCAGGGTTCGATCCGTAATCACACCCCCCTCCCCCCTCTCGCCACACCTTAGGAGTGGGCTTGGCTTCCAGTGTGTCCTGAGCTGTGCGTGGCGACGAGCCGAAGAACTGCATGGCAACGGTTGTGTTGGGTGGAGTGTAGACGGCCATGGACCAGCTTCTGGACAGGCTCGGATGACACTTCTTGCTATCCCAATCAAGGCATGTTGCCACTGCCAAACCCAGCTCGTTGACGCCGGTGCTGGTCATGGGGAGGTGGGCGAGTCGGGGAGTGAGTGGGTGTGGTGTGGAGGCTAGACTGGCACTGGAGCCTGGCTTCGGGTTTGCCAACCATGGGATTGTGGCATTTTCTCGATTCTCGTTGACGAAGTCCCTTTTCCCCATCTTCCGAGGCTCGGACCCTTCGACGGCGTTAGCACGATACCACAACTAGAACACAGGCACCGCACCTCAGCATGCGACGCCCGCTTGTTCATCGAGCAAAATGAACTGATAAAGTGACCTAGTGCAGCTGTAAGCTGACCACAAAAAGGAAACGATTGAGGCCATGCGTTGGCGCTCACGTTCATTCCACTACCTGCATACTGCAAGAAGTCTGAGGCTGGAATTTTGGTCTTGCGCTCCACGTATGAGTGACCCTGAGCGATCCAATTTCCGAGGGGCACTGGCGTTGTCCAGCTCGGGCCGGAGCATTTACTCCGGCAGATACATTCCGGAAAAGCTGCCCTTTACTAGAGCGGCATGGCGGCCTTTCGGCAGCTGCCCTGAGCCAAGTGACTTCTCTCGGTGCTTCTCCTACAACGTACAGATCAAAATGCGTGCGCGGCCCCTTCAAAGCCGTGTGGACATCAAGAATTTCAAATGAAAGCGAACCACTGAGCGGATTGCGCGAAATGCTCGGCACGTCTGGTCAGTTTTGCCACTTGGTGCGCGGGGCCCAGGCCGACGGCTGCCGATCATTGACCTTTACGCTCCTGATCTTCTATACTTCTGGGAGCCGTCGTTCGACGAAAAGGTTCGGACCCACGCCAAAATCCCGTGGAATGATGAAATGGTGAATGGCAAAATCCCTGTGCAGCTGACGGGGGGCTGCGGGTGTCGGTCGCCAGCGGCCAGTTGTGTAAATTTCTATTGGCAGCCATCTTGGTCCAGTGCACCAATAGCATGACCGAATCACTCCGGCAGTTGCGCACACAAACTTGAAGAGGTAATAAAGTAGGTACCTGTACCTCAATATAACACATTGGGCCGGCGACAATGATTCAGGGTTGCCAACTCAGCAGGCCTGCCTACCTAGTCGAGAAACACACGCGGCTCTGGCGATGAGCCATTGCTCATCAAGAACTCGGACCCTTACGTTAGGGAAACGGCTTTGCCGTACCTTGACCTGAGTGGGCGAAAAAGCTCTCCACACTAGGTACATGTAGCTTCATGAACGAGTCTCTACAGGTGAGAAGAACAGCTGTCAGCAATGACAAACACCTGAGCTTCAGCATAGAGGTTTCTGGTGGCCCCGGGATCCCTGGCTCGCGCCTCAAGTTAGGACCATGTGGTTCCCGACCTGGTGATTCAAGGCTCCAGTTCGCCTCTTCGGCCCCTGTGCCGCTGCAGCACAGCCACACGGGACCCCAAGTCGAGTGGCGGCCGGAATCCACAGCGTGTCTTGGTATTCAAGGTGGGGTATACAAGCCTGTGGCGGTCGCTCACAGCCTCGACAGGGCCATCAACCCGTCTGACGACGAAGCGGCAAGAAGATCGACAACTCTACCTTCAGTTTTTGTCCAAAACATACGATGGGTGACGAATTTTCCAGTGCTCGAGGAACCTGGAACCTGGGCAGGTTTACCGACGTGGCGAGAAACTCTTATTTTAGCTTCGGCAACGCCTACTCGCGTGGATTCGGCTTAGGAAGGGTGAGGCTGTCAAATTCACTGGTCTGGGAGCATCATGTGAATGAGGCCCCGGGTACTTTGACAGCATACCGGCGTATACTTTGACCAGCTATGCTTGATGACGAGCCGGCAGATGAATGGGTCAGCACACAGAGGCTCGCATGGCATTCATGGAAAGAGGTGGATGACGGGCAAAGTGACTCTGCTTTTTGAGCCGGCGAGTGCGAGCGGAGTCTATCATTACATGCAGCATGATCCAGCGCCCAATGATGTGTTCGAGCCAGACTGCCGGGCCCTTCATTGAGACTAATGCTGGCTACTCCCCTTCATGCGCCCTGCCTGGTCCAATGCACGCTCCAGGAGAAGGCAGGCCATGGCTTCGGATTCGTCCGGACAGGGAGCCTTGTAATTACGGCGCAAAGGGATGTAAGGGCACGTAGAGCCGCAGACAGTGGATGCGAGGGCTGGAGGACTCCGTGAGCCTGCGAGGAGGGCATTCCCACAGGACAAACGTGTTAGCCCGGCAAGATGGGGACCAATGAGCTGTTGTAAGCCTGCCCTTGTAGGCTGAGCACCTCATATGCAGGGTAATCGAGCCAGTAGACTTTCATGTTCTTTGCTTCCTTCCACGGTTGCAGATGGTCCGCACGGAATGAGTGTAGCCGAGTGCAAACCCCTGGGAAGATGCCCCTGTACTTGTCAGTCTGCTAATGTTGTGAGGGCTGTCTCCACAACCTCCTTTGCAGCTGTTGATGCGACTAAGAAGTATTGAATGAAAATTCGCAACCTGACTACCTTACTTGACGAGGAATTCGACCAGGATCGACACTTCTGCATCCGTGGGACCTTGGGGCTTGTGCTTGGTTGGCCCCGGGAACCGCCATGTGTTCGCCTCTGTCAGTCGAGAGGTGTGCCGCATAGCCTTGCGTTTCGATACTCAACAGATCCAAATGGCCATGTGCGATGTACTTGAATGCCCCAAGCTCGTTGGTTTTGCTGATAGGTGCACGCTTTCTTCGTCTGGCTTTATTCGTTTGATTTACTACATGCCTCGTGCTGTTGTACAACGCTGCCCATGTCTCCTACGTCGTCAAATCTCGGTCCTTTAATCCTTCTTCAGGGGTAGCAGAATCTCCTCAATGCCCTTGCTGGTAATGACCATCATCTGCAGCGCGTCACCGACCTCAATATGACGCTCCACTGCGCCATCAAACGCATCCTTGACCAAGATCTCGGCCTCCTTGCGCTCCAAGGGCACCACTTCCCTCTCCTTCAGCTCGTGTCCAACGCCACTGCCAGGGACATATTGGTTCTTGAAGTTGACCTGATTGTCAAGGAAGGGCGTGATTAGACTGGCAGCAGCACCGCCAGCCCTGCTCTGCTCCCTCTCGTAGCTGCCCACGGGGTCGTACGAGAAGACGGCGCCGACGCCCTTCTCGTCGAGACCGCCGAGAATGGCGTAGACGTAGTACGGGAAGAAGCGCTTCTGGTAGAGTATCGTCGAGAGACGCTTGGCGCACGCCGTGACGCTCATGGCCTTGCCGTGGCGGTAACGGTAGATCTTGCAGATGGCATCCAGGCGCTCCTTGAGAGCCTCGCCATCGGCTGCGAAGCCAACAACTGACAGGAGAATGGTCGCATCATCCTGGTTAGATGTTGTGCCGCCAATCTTGTAAACTTTGGGAGAGTATCGAGAGTTGATGCTGTATCCGGATGTGCTACGGGTGTCACCGGCCACGATCGCGAAGTCGGCTCCGGCGATGGCGAGCGTGGAGCCGCCGTTATCGGTGTATCTTGAAGATCTTAGCTTTACGTAGTCCAGCAAGTCATGGGCCTGTCTTACGGGTTGAAGCGGTGCTCTCTGTGCTCGCCGTGTGCGGACTTGGGGGCATCGGAGAAGGAGTAGTTGGGCCCGTTCATCAGGGGGTTTTGGCTGAACATTGCGGCCATTGTGCAGTTTCCCACCAGTTGCGTGTCGGGAGGTGTTATGTGTGCTGGATGTAGTGACTGGATCGGTGTGGAAGCGCTTGCGATGAGGTTGGGGACGTTTGCTCGATAAGTCTGGGTTAATGCGTCGATAGGTGAGGTTGAAGCTGAGCACGCGTCAAGCTGGCAGCCTTGCTAAGGTGGAAGCTACGGGGAAGCTACGATGACTAAGGTAGAAAAGTGGAGTCCTATAGTCCACCAGTCGTCACCCTGCAGGAGGTCACTTCGCGATGGCTTCACAAGCTTGCCAGTCTGGCAAAACAAGTCGGGCGTACCATTGCTATTTCCCCGTCTGCATTTCGAAACCCCAGCGTCTGTCCATCTAGACCTCGCGAGAGGGTTTTGGCTCTCAAGATGTCGCGCGATATCAGGCTGAAGGCACTGCAGAAGATTGCTGCATTGTCTGCCGCCAGCTCGACTACCTCTTTCGACAGATCTGATCTCGACAGATTATGCAAGGCATGCCCCCCGCATGGCAGAAGCTCTAATGGCTATTCTTCTAGTCAGACTTTCGCTATTGGACGCGTGCCAATGGTAGGATCTCTGTCTTATCCCTTATTGATTTCAAAGCTTATCTCGACGTAGACAATTCGCGAATTCGAAGTCCTTCTCGCCCTCTGCAAAGCCGCCCCGTCAATAAAAACTAGCCAAAGTGCTCAGAAGCTGGCCAATCAGCTTGTCCCCTATATACTCGAAGCTCACGTTCAGGCATTTGTTCACTCGCCGTTCTTCAAGAAAATCGATCCCTCTCCTACGGAGGCCTTGGCATTTAATGTCACCGCAGCCCTGCTGTCTCTCGGCACAAACTACGATGCACTGGAGGAGGTAGTCTCGGACAGTCTCTGGGCGTTCATAAATGCTTGCAGTCATGCTGCTGAAAACATTGTACCTACGTCTGCGGATCCCCCCGAAGGCCCAACTTTGGACAACGCCATCCAGACGGCCACGATTGCAATCTCTTTGTTGGGTTTCCTGGAAGCTGCTGCAGCTCAGGCCGACTTCTGGCGTGCTGGAGGCAGACTAGCCTTGATTCAAAGAGTAAAGGAACTCCTGTCTGAACCGTTTCTCATCGCGGCTGAGACGGCCTTTTCCACGATCCGCAATGCGCACTCGCCAGATCGCCACACCAAGGAGTGGAAGCGCACTCTTCGCCACTATTCTGTCATTGGCCGACCACTTGGAGCGATGCTTCTGCAGAGGAGTTTCATGTGGCTTCTTGTGGCTGCTACCTCACTTCTGACCACCGATGCCACTACACTGAGAAGCACGCATGTCCTTGATGTCCACATGTCGGGCACCAAGCAGCCCGAGCCTTCGCGTGCTGCCGATGTTGATATACGATCCCTGGACTGTTATGCGAATATGGCATTGAATCAGATGGATTATCTCGAAGCAAGTGCCGATTTTGTGAGACTCGGATCCGTGGGCGAGCAAGAGCTGGCTTTTGCTGTAAAATCCGCTGCCCTGATCAGTTATCTCAATTGCTCACTTATCAACGAAGACGTCGCTGATTCTGACAATGTCATGTCTTGGCTTGAGGAGGCACTCGCCGACCCGCTCCAGATGGCTGATGAGACCTTGGCTTCGGTCGTGCTTCGGGCAATGGCCATTACGTGCAGAATCACGCCGAGCTACGCCAATACTGTCAGTCGTCTGCTGCCACGCTTCATTGTACAGACGGCGCCTGATTCGAAGACTGTCGCCATTGCGTCTAAGAGTTTGGCATTTGTGCTTCGGAAGCTGTCACAGGATGCCGTCATCACAACACTCTACACCCTAGGTAATGTTTTGAGCCCCGGCTCAGATCGTACGATTGCCAACAGTACAATGAACGACTTGAGCCAGGAGGGGCCAACATCCGTTTATGCGGGACGGCATTCCATGGGAAGCAGCATATCTCTTCAAATTACTGGTGAAGAAGAAACCGCGGTTGTCTGGGGCAATGTGGTCCAAGCCGTCTGCGGCATTGCGGCTGCATGCAACGACCAAAAGATAACCGCTCTCGCTCAGTCCATGCTCCTACAGAAAATTGACAAAATAAGCCCTCGTGTCGATGCTCAAATCATCATTGGCGCCGCGGCACTGGCATTGAAGGGGGGTCAACTAGAGTTCCGCTCTTTGTTGAAGATGTACTCGAGGATCTCCCACCTCGGAGTTTCCAGCGATAAGGGCTTCCTCCTGGATGCTGTAAGTGTGATACCATTCATCCTGCAGGTTTTGAGCGACTCCCTAACAAAAACTCAAGGTCATGAAAGCCCGGGTACACCTCTCTACCCACCTCCGACGCGGATCGCCGTTATATGACATATATTGGGAGCACCTCTTGGAAAGCATCATCTCCATTGGTGATGTGCACAAATCGCAAACGAAAGATGCCGACCTTCAACTTGCGGCACAGGAGATTGCACAGTTACTGCGACCTCTTGCAGTCATTATGTCTGCAAACGATCTCGCATTCAATAATGTCACTGATGATGAGTCCCATACTTTGATTAGAGACGCATGGTTTAACCTTGTTGTCCATGGATTCACCGTTCAATCAGACCTCGGAATACAGTACCAGGACGAGCTGCGACTCATGGCCATCCACTCTCCGCCACTTGTTGCTGAACAGAGAGGAGAGCAGATCGAGAGTGACATTGAGCTAAACACTGTGCTGCGCCGTGGCATGAGCTCGGAGCGGGAGACAGCAAAGAGGAAGCATCTGAGTGACTTGGTGCCCTCAAAGGATCAGGAGATCAAGGGCCTTAGCTATCGGAAGGTCATTTTCTTGCAGTCGGCGTACCTAGTGGAGAGCCTCCGAGCAGACTCTGGCGACTGCACGAAGGTACTCTCTTATTTCCTGGAGCCCAGCATGCGCCGCGGAGACGTCAGCAGCACGATGGAGGGTATTGCCACTGCGGTGCTTGAAAAGTATCTGCGGAAGACCCTCGGGGGCCAAGACTCGAGTTTTTCGGCACCCTTTGCGGCATCACAACTCGCCGCGGTACTTTGCAATTGTTGTCACCGGATCGAGCGTGTGCAGCAAGCGGCATTTACTTACGCTGATCGTATCATCAGAGATGTTCCTTCAGCGCTTTGTCACCGAACTTCACTCTTTGCTCTGTTGGAGCTACTTTCCCTTATGTGGACCAGCTGTCTCGAGGCCGAAACAGACCTTTACGCTCCCCGCTCCTGTTTTACTTCGACACTTGGCGGCGTCTCCGTTGAGGTCTCCGATGACTATGACTTCCGGCGTAAGACTCTCGACAATCTCCACCGCAAGGCTAAGGCTTGGGTTTCGGGAGTCATTGGCCTTGCCCCATTGGACGTAAAGGGCCAACTCCAGACATACCTGTCAGAATTCAATGACGAGGGCGCGTACGGCCACATTTCCCTAGGTCGCTCGTTTGCACTTGAAATGTCCTCCGTCATTCCCTCCACAGACCAGAGGTTGCAGTCTTTGGACTTGGTGGGAGCCTGCAACATCAACACGGCTTCAGACTTTGTCGCACAATACACGACGCGTCAAGAGTACCGCTACGGAGAAACTCTACCTGATCGCGGCACTGAACTGGTGAGTTTCATGCACTTGAACCGTAGGGCCTCCTTTGTGCAGTCCTCAGTGTCATCCGCCTCGGAGAGCAACAATGCGGCCACCGCCCTTGCCCACGTTGAAGCGCGGCTCCGGAGCAAGAAGTCAACTCCACTTTCCGAGGTTAGGGATATACTTCGACGAGCTGCCGCTTTGCTCTGTCGTAGCAGTCGCGATGAGTCTGATGTCGTTCACTACTTGGTCAGCATTCCTTTTGCCATGTTTACGAAGGAATCCACCAAACTCGGTGTTTCGCTGTGGCTTGGTGTCATGAACGAGAATCCCCGTCTCGAGCCCCGTCTCCTTTCTGAGATTGCCCAGCAGTGGGAGCTTTCCATCCAGCGAAGGCTCGGGCTCTTCAGTCGAACCGTCACGTAAGTCTTAACACATCCAGCTTGGCTGGTCTGCCAGCTAACTCGTTACAGTCATCCTGACCCCTTCTTCCTGCGCGGAGAATCGGCGCCAAGCGATCTCGAAGGCATTGCCAAACAGAGACACCACGTCCATAATCTGTTGTCGCCGCACATGCGCCTGATGCAGTTTTTCGCCAGCCACTTCAACGCTACGCGCCTTGGCAGCCCCGATGTCCAGAAGATCTTTTTGCGAATTCTCGATATCACCCTTGATGCCATTCTTACAGCAACACCGCACCCGGTGGCCCGCGAGTTGAGATATCAGATTGTCCTTTTCGGATTAAAGGTCATCCGCGTCTGCACAACCATTGGGGCAGTGGCCCTGGGGCGTCTGAAAGAAAAGTTGCTATCAGCCGGACTGAGCTGGTTCAGGGCCGCGCCGCGTTGGTCCTTTGGCAGCAACATCCTCCAGCTGAAGACTGAACTTCGATTGCTGTCTGACGTTGTCGTCTCCTTGAAGCAGGTTGATGCTATTGGTGCTCCGGCCGGAGGCAACCTCAAGTCGCTCAAGGCTAAGACGCAGCTATTGTTGCTACTGATTGAGAACGAGCACACGCGACTCTCTGTCTGGGTTCATCCGCTTGAGCCACACAAAGCACACACCCTGAGTCATGCTGCGCCAAAGACGGCGCTCGAGGTAAGCGTGACATTGAATTTGTTGCCGAAGAAAATGCACTGACAACATCTAGAACTCTTTGGTTCCTTTAGTCAGAACAGCATGGGCAGAGGATCCGTCCATCGCCATTGAACTTGTGTCAAGGTTTCAGATTCCTCGTCTGCATCAGGAAGTGCGCTGGCTTCTCCTCAATTTTCCAGCCAAAGCGGTGTCTGAACCTGAGGCACTCCCTATTCTCTTGGGTGGTACATTGCCGAACGATGTCAGCTTCCAGCTCAAGGTTAGTTTTGCCCGTTTTGATTTTAAAACCTGGCTCACATGAATCACAGTACCTGCTTCTCTGGGCACCGGTGAATCCGATCACGGCAGCCACCTATTTCTCCCCTACCTATCGCAGCAACCCATACTTGACTCAATACGCCATGAAGGCACTTGAGTCTCACTCGAGCGAGGTTACCTTCTTCTACATTCCTCAGATTGTACAGGCACTTCGCTACGATGCTCTGGGTTACGTTGAGCGGTATATTCTGGAGACTGCAAAGTTCTCTCAACTATTCGCTCATCAGATCATTTGGAATATGAAGGCGAACGCCTACAAGGACGATAGCGGCACCATTGTAAGACTTTTGTTTGTGCGCATGCAAAAGATTGGACTAACATGATGCAGCCTGATGCCATCAAACCCACCCTGGACACGGTTCAGGAGAAGATGGTGGCCAACTTCAGTGACGCTGACCGCGACTTTTACCTGCGCGAGTTTGCCTTCTTCGATGAGGTGACCAGTATATCGGGCAAGCTTAAGCCATTCATCAGCCGGCCGAAGCCGGAGAAGGCGCAGAAGATCGAGGAGGAGCTCCGCAAGATCAAGGTAGACGTGGGCGTGTACTTGCCCATCAGCTCAGATGGCGTTGTCATTGGCATCGACCGCAAGTCGGGCAAACCCCTGCAGAGCCATGCCAAGGCGCCGTACATGGCAACTTTCCGTGTCAAGAAAGCGAAGAAGTCCATTGCCGTTGATGGCGAAGAATTGGTCGAAGAGGTTGGCAAGCAAGCTGCTCAACACCAGGACAGCCAGACAGTCGAAGTGTGGCAGTCGGTCATTTTCAAGGTCGGCGACGATTGCCGACAGGATGTTCTCGCGCTGCAGATGATCGCCGCATTTCGAGGCATCTTCCAGAGCGTGGGCCTCGACGTCTATGTGTTCCCCAACCGCGTCACAGCGACGGCGCCGGGTTGCGGTGTCATTGAGGTGCTCCCCAATTCGGTGTCGCGCGACATGCTTGGCCGCGAGGCAGTCAACGGTCTGTACGACTACTTCATCTCCAAGTACGGCAACGAGGACTCGCTCCGCTACCAAAAGGCGCGCACCAACTTCGTCAAGAGCATGGCGGCCTACTCCGTCATCTCGTTCCTCCTGCAGTTCAAGGACCGCCACAACGGCAACATTATGATCGACGACGCGGGCCACATCCTGCACATTGATTTCGGCTTCTGCTTTGACATTGCGCCGGGCGGCATCAAGTTTGAGCGTGCCCCCTTCAAGCTGACCACCGAGATGATGGCCGTCATGGGCGGCGCCGACCACCAGGCCTTCAAGTGGTTCGAGGAACTGACGGTCAAGTCCTTCCTCGCGAGCCGGCAGTACTGTGAGAAGCTCAGCCAGATCGTCCTGCTCATGATGGACAGCGGGCTGCCGTGCTTCAAGCCCGAGACGGTCAAGCACTTTAAGCAGCGGTTCGTGCTCGAGAAGAGCGAGCGCGAGGCGGCCGAGTTTATGAAGGACCTCATCAAGAAGAGCGCCGGCAGCTACTCGACGGGTGTATACGACCAGTTCCAGCTGCTGACCAACGGGATTCCCTACTGATGGAGGAGATGGATGGACATGGTTTCATGTGCGGCTTACACTGCATTTACTACAATACATATTTAGATGGTATGCCTACAGCCTCGACTTATCCTGAAAATTTGTGGCCCCATGGCGCACACGCCTGTGCAGAACCATCTATGAAACAACGCCGCTTGTTGAACAAAATGAGACTACCCCGCCACCTTTCCCGCTGCTACCCCGGCAGGCGGTCCTGTGATACCGCAAGGCCTGGGTATGTATATGCTTCCATTTTGCAAGGGAAAATACAAATCGAAATCAAAAGTAGGAGACGGTTTGGATACATGTTGGAGGATTATTTGTTAATGTGTGTCTGGAGGTTGTAGGTGGCGTAGTCGACGTGCACGAAAGCACGGTCAACGATGGGCACCGACTCGAGGAAGTATGTGATGACCTCGCTGAGGTCGTGGCTGTCTTTGAGGGGCATGTTGGCGGAGAGAACTATGTCGACCTCGACGAACAGCTTGTCGCCGGCGTGGTAGGCACGGAGGTTCTGGATCTGCTTGACCGCTGTGGAGAAACGCATCGTCAGGTAGAGGACTGTCGTCGTTAGCATCACCGCCGCTGAGAGGGGAAATCAGGAAGAGACATACGCAAGTTCCGCTCGTCGGACGTGGCAGAGAAACCCGTCAGGTTGCGGACGTGATGCATGGAGGTCTGACTCCAGTTGAGGATGACGACAAGGGACAGAAGCAGGCCGCCAAGTGCGTCGAACCACCAAATCTTGGCGTAGAAGCCGACAATGGGGAAGAAGATGGAGCCGGTGTTGAAAATCACGTCGGTCATGGCATCGTCGGCCAGGGCACGGACGGAAGAGTTCTTGACCATGCGGCACCAGAGCCAGCAGGCGCCCTTGATGACGACTGTACCCACCATAATGGCGATGGCGGGAATGCCAAGCTCGATGATGGTGCGGTCGGGGGAGGCAAGCTTCTGGATAGCGGCGAGAGCGACCTGGGTGAAGGAGACGACCATGACGATGGAGAAGACGAGGACGCCGATGGGCTCGAGACGGCGGCGGCCGACAGGGTATCGATGCTGATCGTTCTGGCTGGCGGCGATAAGCCGAGTGGTAGTCCAGACAATGGCGGTACTGAGGAAGTCGAGGATGGCATCGACGAGAGAAGCGAGGACGGAGACTGAGGGAACGGAGAGGACAACAACGACTTTGCCAAGCAGAAGAATGGCATTGGCAAGGAAGTTGACCCAGATGGCCAAGGTCACAATGGGGTCGCTGCTGTCGAGGTCGGAGTCCTCGAGCCAGGGAATCTCGGGCTTGGGGTAGTCATCACTGTCGGCGGCAACGGGACGGGCCTCCTCCTCGTCGTAAAGGGCCTCGTCGCGATCGTTAATACCGCCGAGGAGCGGTGTCGACTCGGTGGGCTTGAAGATGTCCTTGGGGTTGCGGCGCGGCAGCTTCTTGCCGTTGATATTGGTAGCGCTGTCGGCGGACGTGAGGTCGGCGCTCGTGCTCACGTCGGCACTACTGCCGAGCTGCGTGGTGGGTGTCCCCGAGGGGTCGGCTCCGAGCTGGCCAGCTGCAGAGAGAGAAGAAGAGAGAGGCGTGGGCGACTCCTCGGAAATGGTGCCCGGGACGTCGACAGGACGAAAGGCAGAAGCATCGAGGGACTCGGAGTACTCGTTGAGAAGATCATGAGGCACGGAGGAGTCGAGGAGCTGGTCGATGTAGAGGTACATGCGGATGAGGTCGTTGTTGCGCTCGTAATATTCGCGCAGCGGCTTGGTCATGGCCCTGAGCTGCTCCTGGGTCTTCCAGTAACGATCCCATTGATAACGGGGGTTGCTGTTGCCGATGAGACGCATGCTCCTCATCTGAGGGCTGAATATCATCTGGCTCAGGCGGCGCTCCTCGGCCGTCGGGCGACGCGGTCGGCCGCCATCGTCCGAGTTCCTGTGAGGCAGCAGCCGCGATGCGTCCGACTCGTCGTCCTCGTCATCGCTCGGCAGGTGGAAGCCTCTGTGCAGGCGAGGCGACTGAGGATGACCATCGCGGATGCTGGCAGTGGAGCGGTTGCGAATGAGCGTGGCCAAGGTGCCGTTGCCACGAGTGTGGAGGGGGTACGGGTATGAGTCTGTCTCGGCGTGGACGGCGCGTGTGGTGGATGAAGCTCGCGAGGACCCCATGGCGGGTGGCCTCTGAAGCGCGTGGAATGGGCTTCGGGTCGAATCTGATATGTCGTGTCTGACGCAATTGGTGAAAATAAGCTTAATAGAGGCTGGATACAGCAAGGCCTTAGTGTCTCTTGGGGAAGACAGTTTTGGGTCGTTTTGGGGCAGCTCTGAACAGCTTGGGCAGCTCTGAACAGCTTGGGCAGCTCGTAGAGAGGGTAAACGGGTGTAGGAGCGAGTGTAGCCGGGTCTGGGTACGAGGAGGGCAGGTTTTGTCGGTTTTTTTCGATTCGAGCTCCCTCGCTGGTCTTGCAGGGGCCACCTGCCCCACGACGAATGGGCTGTGTCAATTGGGACCCCGCCCAGCTCGATGGAGGGGTGGTGCCTGCCTTGCCTGCCTTGCCTGCTTGCCTGCCTTTGTTGGCAAGGGAGAAGGGGAAGGGGGGGCCCTGAGAGCTGTGAGGGGAAGCTTCACCTCACCCACTGCAACTGAACGTGCAGCTGCGAGCTCCCGTCGCTCTTTCTTGGACCCCTGATTCACGTCACCGCTCGCCTCAGGTCCAACCAATCCCGCCCCGTCCCTTCCCTTCGTGCCCTTCTTGCCCTCCTACAAAGTACCCTTCCCCTCCTGACTCAGCTGTCGTGCAGCTGCTGCCGCACCTCCACAGCAGTTGCCATCCACGTATCATCAAGGTAACTACCACCGCAGCCTTCTGCCGTCCCCCCGTGCATCCCGTACATCACCAGGCCTTCAACCAACCCTCGAGTCAATGACCCCGCTCGGTGTGCTACCTCATATCACATGGCTGATCCGGCGGCTGCCGCGGCCATCTTCCAAAGCCCCGTCCTCCTGACCAACACACAGACACGGCGCGAATGCTCGGTCACGGTGGTTTCGGGTCGATGGATCCATTCCCTCGGGGTCCTTGCGTGGTGTTTTTTATTTTCAACTCCGCTTTGAGTTTCGGAAACTACCTGGACGGTGTTTGATTGTCTTGGCTGTGAGCGACCCCTGCAGATCAAACTAAAGCTTAAGAGTTGCTCAACTGCTTATTCTATCGGAAAGGCCATTGTCACGCCCATCCTGAGGGTCCCTGAGAGGATGACGGAAGGCTCGTGTGTAGACACGATATACATGCCCAGGAGTAAGACCCCACTGTAACTCGACGGACTACAAGATCAAGTTCGAGACCTGAGGCCATCACCTCCCGAGCAGCACCCTCGGAGTCTTGACTTGACACTTCCATCAGAGATGTTGCCCAGGACCGTGCTTATTCTACGGACCCTTCTCTGTTGGAAAGACAATGCGAACCCTCAGTGTCCGTCCCAAGTCGAACATACTTCCAAATTCCATCTTCCAACCGAGTCAGAAGGATAGCACCGAGACACGTCTAACGGCGTTCGGCACCGTCTCCCAGTGAAAGCATCAGCGCCAGACTGTATCATGGAAAGGGTTGCGACAGCTCGACAGAGCACGCCAATCGACACGAGATCGCAACCTCGGATGAATCGATACTAGGTACCTTGAAGATGCTAGGCTTTGGACTACTATCACACTTATCCACAAAGCATCCTGCAAACATGCCCTATCCAGCATGAGCAGACATACTCTCCCCAGCAATACTAATCTCCGCCTACAGCTCGACGCCAAGGTTGACGTGCACGGCCTTGCTCTGCGTGTACGCGTCGAGCGCGTACTGTCCCAACTCTCGTCCGATGCCGGAAGACTTATATCCGCCAAAGGGGATGCCAAAGTGTGAATCGCCCGACGAGTTGATCCACACCATGCCCGCCTGCAGCTTGCGCGCGACCTTGTGTGCGCGGCCGATCTTTTGGGTGAACAGAGCTGCTGCGAGGCCATACGACGTATCGTTGGCCTTGGCAATGACCTCGGCATCGCTGCTGAATTTGGAGATGACCACTACGGGGCCGAAGATTTCCTCCTTGACGATGCGCATGTCCTCGGTGGTCTGTGTCTAGTACTTAGCTCCTCTCTCCAGATTCATGTCTAGACAGGCATGCGCTCGGTTGTGTATGAAGCAGCCTCGTCACGGCACTTACATCAGCAAAGATGGTGGGCTCCAGGAAGTATCCCTTCTCAGCGTGCCTGCTGCCGCCGTACAGGAGTCGGGCTCCAGCCTTCTTGCCCTCCTCAATGTACGATATGACTCTGTCGAACTGCGCCTTGGACACCTGAGGGCCCTGCACCACCTGCTCGTCAAAGGCGTCGCCGAGCTTCGCGTTTTCCTTGGTGACCTCGATGAACTTGTCGAGGAATGCGTCATAGATGGCCTCGTGGACGTAGATCCTCGACGTCGACGTGCAAACCTCGCCCTTGTTGTCCATGATGCCAAAGTGACACCACTTGACGGCCTGGTCGAGCTCAGCATCCTCAAAGACAATGGACGGACTCTTGCCGCCGCACTCGAGGGTGATGTTCTTCAGGTTGTTCGAAGCCTCCTTCATCACGGCACGACCCGTGTTGGTGCTCCCTGTAAAGGCCACCTTGTCGACATCCATGTGTCCGGCAAGAGCCTTGCCCGCGACAGGCCCCAAACCAGGCAGGATGTTGACAACGCCAGCGGGCAGGCCAGCCTCGATGACGAGGTTGCCAAAGTAAAGCGCCGACAGGGGCGTCTGCTCGGCAGGCTTCAGCACGACCGTGTTGCCGCAGGCCAGAGCCGGGGCGACCTTCCATGCGAGCATCATAAAGGGGAAGTTCCAGGGGATGATCTGGGCGCAGACGCCAAGGGGCTCCTGCAGGACGTACGCCAGCTTGGTGGGGGCCGTCTCGATGGTGCGGCCCGTGATTTTGTCGGCGGCGCCGGCGTAGTATCGGAAGACGTTGTAGGACTCGTCGAGGTCGCCGGCCAAGGCGGCACTGTACGGCTGCGGAGCGGGGGCCGGGTGTCTCAGCACGGCTGCGGGCAAAACGGGCAGACTCAACGTACCTTGCCATTGTCGTAGGCGTCAATGGCGGCAATCAGCTCTCGGTCGCGGTCGATGAGCTCGGCGAGTCTGTATAGGAACGCGCCCCTGTCGACGGCAGCTAGGTCGGACCATTCGCCGCTGAAGGCTCTGCGCGCCGCGGCGACAGCCTTGTCGACGTCTTCCACTGAGGCGCCCTTCAATTTGAGCACTTCTACTTCGGTCCTGAAGGCCATGTGAGCAGCCAGACGCCGCGTGACCAAAGACAAGCGACCTACACGGGGTTGGTAATGGCAAACTCATCGCCGGAGGCTGGAACAAACTGGTTGTCGATGAAGAGGCCTGTAGGTTGCTCGTACTTGCGGCCGTTCGGCAGAGTGATCGGTGTTGAGGACGCCATGATAAGCGTGCCGCGAGGCGTGAAGGGGACGACGTCTGATGCGGGGTGTAGCTAGATAAGATATCTACCTGGGAGCAAAAGGGTGATAAGTGTAGACGGCGAGAAGACACAAGAACAAGACAATTGCGGCTATTCCACGAAACGATCTGGTGAAGAGGGGTTAGAAAACCAAAGGACTCCTTGTCGGGTATGTACTATTTCAGGGCGCGGGTGACAGATGTTCGACTTGGCCGAGGTGACTGGAAAGCTGGAGGTGGTGGTGCTTTGTGGAGATACGCGGGGTAGCTTGCGTACTACCTCATGGTGCGCTCGTTGGCCTGCTACTTCGAGGAGGGGCTACACCTTGTACGACAGCGTTTGATAACAGCACGCTCCAGAGGAGTACGACCCCATGCTGACGAAATGGTCGAGATGAGTAAGATGCTGTCGTCATTGTTTGTCAATCTGGATGCTTTGCATGCCACAATGTTTCTGACTGCTCACGCTCTGGACGCAGGTGCAAATGTCGAGTTGCGGGCTCTTTGAGGCGGTGTCATGAATATGTGGTCTCTGTTTTCTTGCTTGAAGTCCATCTTGCTGTGATTCTTCTTTCGTATAAGGAGCCATATGATGCCACGCGTCCTGGACAGAAGTAGATGTCCATTTCTCTGTACGGACACATGGTGATCGAACTGACTGGCAATAACCACTCGTCCCAGCCGAGTAAGGGATCTCATACTTTCGGCTTCATTTGCACTGCGTGCCAAATGCCTGCTTGTAGTTCACCGTCTGGGGAGAACCGCATGAATAAAGAACCCAATGCAATATTTCGAATCTATGGGCCAAACGACAGTTGCTGAGGAGAGAAGCCGGAGCTCCCCTTTTCGAGATTGAATACGGAGAAACGACCTCCCCATGATTCGCTCCCAGCCCAGGCATGAAAGCTGAACCGAAAAGAGCGCTGTACCGAAGTTTCATTTTGTGCGGTTCATGAAGCGCATCTTTCAAAAAGACGATGGGGTTTCCATTTGTACATTGTCCAGGTGCCCGCAAGATGGGGGTTTCACCGTCAGCTAGCCGTTGATTGTCTATTCATTTGACCGGATGAGACCGCAGAACGCGTGATTTACGAGTCAAATATCCTGACTTGACTTCTCTAGGTGGCTTAAGTCAGACTAGAAGTCAAACATTCCGCGAATTGACGGGGGAATAGGAGTTAAGAAACCCATGCTACACTAGGACGCCGACTTTTCTACAACCCTTGGTCATAAAACTTGAGCAGGATTTTACGAATAAGTCTTCAAGGACTGACGCCCAACTGATACTTGTCTTGGGTCCTAGGGCGGAATCTAGATCTGTGTAGCATTGCGGACTGGCTGAGTGAAGATCCCTATATTGGAACCTATGGACCAAGTTTAGAGACATGGAGGGCGACAAAGCTTACAAGTTCGAGACTGCATCGAATAAATATCCATAAGGTTGAGTAGTACAAGACCCGAGTCAGATGTAGTGCGGATCCTGATTTTGGAACACTCCTCGTTGTGGCTGACATTTCCCCGAGCGAGAAGCCTGGAGCCAGACATTCATCCACCGTCATTGTCTTGACATATTCCTAATCTGGCTTGACTGATGAAACCGTGAAGAGGGATGTAGTAAGAAACGAGGCCCGTAGAAGCGTCTGGATATATTGCGTCAAGCTCACACCACG